AACAGAAAAGAAAAATACAAACTCTAGCATTCATGGTGTTTTTTTCTTTTCTTGAACAGTTTATATCTTTGCATCAAACGTTTGGCTTCTGGTGTCAGTTTTCCAACCTAATCACATAGAATCCATGCCCACTTGCTGCTGCATCCTTTTTTTAAATATATTTTTCTTCCACCTTTTATCTTTTGCCTCACCCAGACAGCCGTCAATGTGACCACTGTGACTCTCCACAGGAGAGTTCTGCAGCTCTCTGCAGATTGGATGTCCCAGGGTGATAAACTATTGATACTGGGCTCAGGTAACGCACCTGATATTTAAGGGGGGTGTGGGGGTTAAGGAGGGAGAGATGGCAGGGAGAAAGACAATAGCATTGAAGGAGAAATAAAGCAGTAAGAGGGGAAAAATAGTGAAGTCACATCTGCTCAGAGTTCACATACAGGCCCCTTTTTTTCCCTCGGAGGACCAACTGAACGCTGAGCCAATAGCTGAGCTGTATTATGTGATGACTCAGGGCATTACCAAGGAACTGGGATAGAGGGGGCAGTGAATGGATCCAAAGGGATGGGGGACCTGCGGATGTGTATGTGTGGCCGTTAACAAATGGATTAGTGTTGGAGAAGAAACCTACATTTGTGTTTTAACTACTAACATCACGGCCCTGGTCCCAAAGGCATCCAACCCCCCCTCTGCCGTCCCCTTTTGTTGTAGTGCTGCTCGCCAACAAGTATTTATCATGTAAACAGTGCGACAGTTGAATTGAAGTGTCAGCATTGTGAAAACGAACTCAGGCTTTAGATTTGTCATCTTCACCCTGTTTCTACCTGATAAGCATGTTTTTCTTAAAACAAGAGTTAACCAAGCCCTCCAACATTTTTGTAAATGTTCCATAAAATAATGTAAAAATAATTTAGAATCACAGTTTCTGTAAAATTTATACAAGAATGTCAAACATGTTTAGACATTTTTAAAGAATATAAGCACAAATATTTTGTCCTCTTCACAAAGTACTGTACTTATGTAATTGTTATTCTGACCTTTATACACCAAAATGTTTTATGCTTATAGCGATTAGATTAGGTGGCTAGCCTGCAGTTCGTTGCTTCTAGTTTAACACTATAGTTTTAGCGATGTGACCTTCATCAGAGGGATGGGTGAAACTCCTGTAGGTTTCCACACAATATTGTCCTGTATTTGCAGCCCTAAATATCTTGAAACAGCTCTATTTTCTATTTTCATGAAGCAGCTAAAAAACAAAAGCATCTTTCTTAAATCAGCCACTATAATGAACAGCAACAAGATGGGGAGGGGGAATGCTATTTTCCATGTTCTTGTGGAGAACAGAACAGATTCTACATAAAACCTATTTGCTATCTTGATTTTTGGGACTATATAACTTTTAAAAAGCTTGGTTCACAGTAACATACCCAGATCAACACAGGATTGTTATTTATCTTCTTTTTTTCTGAATCCTTAAAAATGATGGTTTAACATTTAACATAATGATGAATTAAGAATTCATTGTTTTATTATTTTTAAAAATGCATAAATGAAACAGATCAAGAGACAAATAAGTTGACCAATGTCTGTATCTTTTGTCTTGTTGAAATCAATGCAACAGAACCCAAAGAAAGTTAGAAGTTGAGATTAGTAGATATAAAAGATGACATAAAGGTGCAGAATATTTAGTTTTAGCTCATAGTCTGGCCTAGTGGTTAGGGTTTTGCGCTTGGAATCCAGAGATTCTGAGTTCAAGCCCCGCTCCAACAAACTGCCCCTCTGGGTCCCTGAGCAAGACCTTTAACCCCACACTGCTCCCCGGGCGCCCCGCAGTGGCAGTCCACTGCAGAGAGTTCATTTCGTTGCTCTATACTTGTGACTGTAATGACAAAAAAAATAAATAAAAGAAGCAAGAAAATTATTTAGACCATCTGACTCTCTACAATTATGATGGAAATGCTTTCAAAACCTAACAGAATGTTAACAGGTTTCTCATAATAGGTTGCTATCATTAGACAGTATTGTGCAAAAAATTATCACAGGCCTAAGTTCTTTACACATTTGCAATGATATTAAGTCGTTTCACCAGATCTTTAGCTGGATCGTTGTAATTTGTTGTTATTTGTACATATTTTCCCAAGTCCCTGTTCTAGACTGATTTTTGTGTCCCTAAACAAATGTAGGGTTTTAAAGCACTGCACAAAAGAAGCCACAGAAGACTCTGCAGTCAAATAACAGTTTCAGAAACTCCTTCTTTTGTAAAGAGCTAGTTGAAGAATTTCTGCAAAGTCCTAAAAGTGGACCAACTCCAGTAGTTAATATGGTATAAAACAAGAAAAGCCGTTGTCGTAGCCCATGTTGTTCCTGTTTTTGGTGTTTCTTGAAGCACTGACTTCAGCCAAAGTCCAAACCTTGTGGGTTTCTACCTTTTATGACGTCACAGCATACAGCATGCTATAATAAACTGCCATTTCCTTAGCAAATGTCATTTTGCCATTCTGCCTTTAGAATTCCTATTTTCTTAGTTTTATATTCGGATATATTCTGCAAAAAAGGAAATGAACATTTTGTAAGCTGCGGGCAAGGATCATCTAGGATGACAAGCATAGCTGTCCACTTATTTTATTTTACATTGACTAGCTTGCAAATGTATTCATATCACTTACAAATTATCCTCATATAGTGTGCTATGGATTTAAAATGGATTGTTTAAGAGCTTTCGCCATTTCATTGTCAGATCCTTTAATTCTTGTTTGTGTATTGTGAAGCAAACAACCCAATTATAAAAAAGGTTTTTGTTCGAAACCTCTCACTAATCTTTAATTCTTGATTTTGTTGAGACACCTTTTGTTGCAATTATAGCTTCAAATCTGGAAAAGTCTTTTTGAGCATGCTGCATCTTGCCACTGGAGTAATTGCCCATTCCTTAAGGGCAAAAACGGCTCCAGGTCCTTCGGGTTGGGTGGCTTTTCTCAGATTCTCATTTGGATTAAGGTCTAGACTATAACTAGACCTTCCATACAAATGTAAATGTTTCCCTTTAAACCACCTTAAAGGGAAGTTCTTGTGTTTTTGTAGAATATACTACCTGTTACTATCCTGGTTGTAACCTCTGTCCCAATCTCCAATTACAGGTAAACTGACAAATTTTTTTTCATAAACATCCTTGTATTTAACACCAATAGTCTTTCCATTGACTCAGACAGATTTCCCAGCCAAAAGTGCTGAAAAAAGCTTAAAAAACTTAACCACGAAGCACATTGCTGCCATTACCATGCTTAACAGTGGAGATGGTGTTCTTAGGATAATGAGTGTTTGGCTTACAGCAGACATAATTTATTTTATTTTTTTGATAGATGAATAGTCTCATCTGACCAGAGCACCTAGTTCCAATGATTCTGGGAGTCACTCACATTTGTAAAACTAAGTGATGTCTTTTTTTCTAGCCATCCAGAAATCCAAACTCTTGGCTTATTGTGTCCTTTGGACAGATATTCCAATTTCTGCAGAGGAATTCTTAAACTCCGTTAGAGTTACCTGTGGTCTCTGTTGTCTGTTTGCCCAATCTGTGGGTTCTGTTGGGTGGCCCCCACTTGGCAGCTTTGTTAAGGTACAATGCCATTTTTTAGGGGGTTCCTAGGGACCGGGAAGGAAACATACATATGTACTGTAGATGCTAATTTTTATTTTCATTCCATTTTTTTAATTATACAGTTTCTATTTTACATTAAAAACTTGAAATATTCAATATAAAATCATATAAAATAAAATTTAATGAAAGCATTTAAATTGCACTGAGATATTAAAGACTTCTAGGTCATACCTAGAGGAGGATTAATATATTAATATTTTTACAACACAACATGTTAGGTACAACAAACATTATTTGTCTTTGATTAAACATAGTATTGCTTCCATTTGAATTCGATTTTAATTCAAAAAGGGAACAACAAACATCCAGTGCCTTTTGTTGAAAAGAAGGTTTTGGCTACGGCAAATTATTAAAGTTGTTCAATTACAGCTAAACTTTCCAGAGAAAGACGGATCTGTATTCTATTCTTGTTTATGAGAACAGTTTTTTTTTCTTGACAAAGAAAAAGAAAACTGTTTAAAAAAAAAAAAAGATAATATATGCTTTTTATTTTGATAAAGGAACGTGTTTAATGTGGTTGGGATATATAAAAATTTACACTTATCCCTTTCTACTGTCTGCATTGTTTTATTTGTATGTTTTTATTTTTTGCTTCTATTAAAGACTAGCATACTGTACAGAAAGAATTGTCAGTTTTTTTTTTTTTAAGTAAAGACATTTTAATGCTGAATTACTTGAGTTTATTTTCCTCTGTGGTATGCAGTCAGCTGGTAAATTGTGTAAAATTGTTTCAGTCTTTGGCCATTCTAGTTAGAGGAGATGATTTGAATATTTTGTATTTTAATAACAAAAGTCTCATTTGAATGACCCCAAAGTAACATCAACTTGATGGTTTCACTTGGCAGCTTGGACTCCCTTATATAAATGTGAGTGTCACATTTTGCATTCATGAGATAAACATAATTATATATGGGCTCAATCCTGAAACATCTATAAATTGGCTTCAATTAAAATAGTTTCATCTGAAAAAAAGGAGAATGTTTTAGAAAGAATAAAAATCTCACAAAAAATAAAAAAAGTGAATTCCTAAAGAACTGAAACTTTTTTTTTTTTTTTTCCACGGGACTGCATTTCTTAGAGCCATGAGTTAACCTGGGCATATAAACAGCACTTTGGACTTGCTTCTTTCAGGAGAACTTGTGACCTTTATGCTTGTCCCAACCCTGAGTATCAGCAGGCAGCTGGTTACAAAAGCAAAGCAGAGCATACCTGTGCGGGCTCTAAACCAAGCCCTATCCTACCTGAGTCACCCGGTCGGTGTGTTTCTGTGTTTTTTTTTCCTTTCTTTCTGCCACTCCCTTTGTTTCCATCTTGCAACACAGCTAAGTCCCGCCTCCATCAGCCCTATGAAGGATAGAGAGTTTCATGCTGTCTTCTGCCGTATTTGATTCTCGGGGACCCAGCTTAACTTCAGCCAGTCCATCCCCCCCACCCAAATCTGCTCTTTGATTTTACACCCTGTATATAATAATTCAAATCGGGATTTGCAGAGTTTCGGCTCTCTTTCTTTCCTCCTGACCCACAAGCCTAAAAGGTAAGGGAATTAATCGTAGGCTACATTTTGCAACAGGTGTACAGCACAGCTTGTCTGTGTTAAAAAGCTTAATTGTTCCCTTTATATAAATATATATTTTTTCTTATGCGTTCAGGTGAATTAAATCATTTTAATTTATTCAGGGAGATTGACTTTTCGTTTTTCTTTTTCTTTTTTAAGTGAAAGCCATCCAGCCGTAACATTTCCATTGAGCGTCAGGTGGAGCCAGGTTCCAGTGTTGCGTTTAGGAACCTCGCGAATTATCGGTTAAATAAGTTTCATCGTGAGGTATTATAGTTCGTAATTGGGATTTTCACCATTTTTTTTTTCATCCGTTCTTTTATTTATAACAGTCACTTCCCTAATATGTGAATCATGGTTCGGTTTTTTTTTCATAACTTCGATATAGGCTTTAAATCTAATGCTTTTATCAACATTAAATTAACATAATTTGACTCTAGGCTTTGAAGTGATGGTTGGTGACCATTTTCTTGAGTAGAATATTTTCTGAGCTTTAACTTTCTGCGTTGGTAGCTTAGTTTAACCACTGCTTTTATGAGTTTACAAAAGGAGTATGAAGGTATGGAGGACCAACTCTACCATATCTAAAAATAAATACAGAAATAGATAAATGCTCAATAAATAAATAAGCATTCAATTAATTGCCCCCAAAAATACAATAAACAAATAAATATAGGCAGAAATTAAATAATACAGTGAGATGTAAATGTATATATCTATTTTAATTAGCTTCTTTATTTATTCGCCTTTGTAATAATTACCTTATTTATTTATGGAGCATTAAGTTCTTTCTGTATTTATTTTTAAATAAGGCAGAGTTAGTCCTCCATATAAGAGAACCAACCGAAAAGTAATCATCATATAATTTTTGACTACCTGGCCCTACAGTATATGCTTATGGCTAAAGTATTTACAACAATGATAGTAATCAACTAATGATAAAAAGGGTTTTTACTTTCAGTCTTGCAGACTTATAATTGCAGATGCTAGAAATATTTTTTAACAAAAGTCACGTTCAAAAGAAATTGAGTTTGACATTACAAGTATTCCAAATGTCACCAAGATGACAGGTAAAAACTAGGCTATATGTTTAAAAAATGAAAATTTTGGTTAATTTCTGGACTTTGATTTACATCGACACAAATAAACAGTTAAATTCAGTTGCATTTGATGACACAATAAAGCAAAGTACAATTTTCTTCTTTGAATGAAACAGATGATTGTTTTATTAAAAAAATAAATAAATAAATTCTCAAAAAAAAATAAAAATAAATTCTCTGCTCACCAAGTGACCTGTATGCCTGATGTATTCTTAAATGTTCCTGTTTTGCTTCTTAGAGCAAATGTCAGCAAGTTGACCCATAACAGCCTTTTTATGCTATATCCAAAGGTTGCATTCATTGCTGTAGTGATATCATTAAAGGAAAATCCTGACAGAATGATGTAGATTATTTACTATTTTTTATGGAAGCTTAAACCTCATTTTTATGTCTTTAACTCGGACAAGTATAAGGTATCTTGAATTACGTTACGCGTATGTAAGGTATAGGAATATGAGTATGTTTATATTTTAATGAGAAATTCTCGGAAGTGAGGCCTTTCATAAATTAAAGTTTTTTTATGGGTTTTTTTTCACTCTACTTCTTTGGCTATGAGGTGTTTATATGCTCTTAACTAAATTTGGCTACTTATTTTTAATGCTATGCTAGTAAGTCCCTTGAAGTGTTACTTTAAGGCTAGCTGGCCTGAGATGTGCCAGACAAAGATTGTTCTGATCGATTACCGTATTAACCCTGCCAAGTGTGAAAAGACTTTCATCCTTGGTTTATTCCTTATTTATTGCTTCAGCATTAATAAATATCTGAGCTTTGCACAAAGCCAAACATTTTTAATAGATAAACCAACCTCAACAAGGCATGCGCGTAGATTAGATTCTTTTAGTATAACAATATAAAGTAAAAATAGCACTGTATCACAATAACACAGTGATTTCAAATATTTTTTAACAGCTAAAACCAATTGGCTTTCTTTCACTAAAGCTTGCTTGCAGACTCATACCTTGTCAACAAAATTTTACACGTTTTACCCTAATAAGAATCAAGCAGTTAAATTTGTCATCTAAGTGATGGAAAAGGGTTAAAGCCTTCCTTCTGCCTACTAACTTGGTAGAGCAGAGCAACAAGTGAAGGAGAGGCAGTTCTCTCTGCTGGAGAAAAGCCTCAGAAAAACTTTAACTATTGAATTTTGGACAATATGAAAAGTTTTGAAAAATAACTTTAGAAAACCCAAATGTCTGTGTATTCTGATTCTGACTGGAGGCCATTCTAGGATGATGGACCTGCTGCAGAAAAGTCCCTGTTCTGCTAATCCTGGTTTGGGTCATGTACGAGTCGATTCAGGCTTGGTTATGTTTATAGGGTCAAGCCAGAATACTGGGTTCCAAACAAATGGTCTGAAATTTAGTTTATACAGTTCTTACCTAAATTGTTACTAAATATTGCTGTGGCAATCTGCATTAACTTAAAGAACATATTTTTTTTCCCTCTCTAACCCAATAGACTGGATCACAGAGTTTGGTTAAACTTTCCAACTTTTATTCCTGAAGCATAAAGCCAGCATTGGGATTGTTGATGTTACATATCTTACATCTTGGATAGACAGAACTTGTCAGACCTGTTCTCATGTTCTGGTGGTAGAATAAAAAGTAAACTTGTGTCCGGGCGGTAGACGGCTGAGTTCTTGAAGTTAAACGTCTATTTTCTGGCCTTATCATTGTAAAATTGTTGTATTTAGAGTTTTTTTTTAACCGCAGACTTTCATTGGTTTGCCTTGCTGTCAAATGCTGACCGGGTTTAAAAAGATAATGGTATCAAAAGATCTTGTTGCTATTATAAACAGCTCTGGGATGGGAAAGTCAACTGTCCCCTGCCCCTTATGTTTTCACCACTATCCCATATGATAACTCCTCCTACCTCTGGATGCCCTTACCTCCTCTGCTCTAGGTATTAAATGTTTTGAAGCATACATAGTTTGACACATTCAGACATATTGCTGTCATATTGGATGCTGTCTGTGTTTAAAAACTGACTGATTGTAATAACTTTAGAATGGTGACTTGTTTTTTTGTTGTATTCTACTTTTCACATTACAGTTAAATTTTGTTTGCAAAGCTGGCTTTTATTAGGTGTCTGTGTGTTACCACATGCTGAGTAAACAGACAACCACTTTGATGACTGTTGTTAAATTATTTTACAGTACTGAGGAGATAGGGCTGTCATGTGTTCAGAGGACACTAAATCCCATTCGTCCTACTGTAGCAGCTGAGCTGCACTAGATCAATAAAAACACAATTAGACGGGTTAATTATACCATAAGAATACATTTCGAAACATCTTCCTGTTGATGTTGTAATGGATTTGCTTTTCATTGTGACAAAACAAGAGGGTGTAATATGAGTCAAGCATTTCAACATGATGGCCTAAATGGAAAGTAGACTTTTTTGATAATTGCATAAAAACTGTATGCTTACCACACAGATGATCAATTTCTATTAACTTGTCGGCAAGACATATTATAAACCTAAAGACAAGAAACGACACATTTCAATGTCCTTTGTTTAAACCACAGGGGGTCTGTAGGGTAAACTTTGATTTTTTAAGCCAGAATGATGGTGATCCAAAAACTACCTACTATTTTAAGAAGTTGAAAGTAGGGGTTTTAGTTACTATAAACATTGCATGTTGCTAATAGTTAAAACCATACACCTTATGTGCTGTTGTTAAACATTTCTTCCAAACTGTTACAAAAATTATCCTCCACCTCCACCAATCCCTGTCAAACAACCCCTTTACCAAGTGAAGCTGCTGCAGGGTAACTAGACCCGATTGTTGGTAATATAAGTCATGACACATCAGAGTCCTGTGTGGATGGCAGCTAGTTCCTATAGTTACTGTAAACAGTCTGGTCTTTGGAGTGTTTGTTGCGATTATACTCCACACTGTGCCAAACAAAATGGTGGCCTATCTCATGCCCTCTCTTAGTTCTCTGCTGCTAGCAGAGGTTAGGTGCTTAATGTGAACAAATTGATAACTCTTGTAGTTTAGATTACAGACTACCAAATAGATATGGAGTTGCTAATATATATTCAGTGAAAATGCTATTTGTTGGTCTAATAAATGTAGTAAAGAGCCATTGGTTTGATTTTCTAATAGTTGGTAAAATTTTATAAGAACTTAGATTAATCTTTCTGCCTTTCATGCCTTCAAGTATTTTAAAGTTGCAATATTAGTCATAATTGTTAAATATATTTTGGAAATATATTTAACAATTATGTTAAATATATTTCCAAATATATTTTTCCTAAGATCTTTCTTAAAAGTGTGGTATGTATTTGTATTCTGCCCATAGGTCAATGTGTTGTTGAATTATCATTCACAGCAATTATAGCTGCAGGTCTCTTGGAATATGTCTTCACCAGCTCTGCACATCTCGAATGTAAAATTTTCAGATAGGAGGTAGAGCAAAGAAAGGCGACATCATTCAGTCCTCGGGTGCTACTGTCTTACCCTTTAATCTTAGTTAAAGTTAGATTTGAGCTTAACACATGATTATAAATTAAATATTTTTTTATTGAAAAGAATATGCTTTAAAAAGACCAATGCAACCTAGCTCTTATTTTTGTTTTCTTGTACAACTGGAAGAGTAACTGAATGAAAGAAAAAATGTGTTTGTGCATCGAGTCAATCTTGTCCTCTGCATGTTTAGATCTTGTCCTCTGCATGTTTAGATTTTGTCCTCTTGCATGGTTAGATCTTGTCCTCTGCGTGTGTGGATCTTGTCCTCTGCATGTTTAGATCTTGTCCTCTGCATGTTTAGATCTTGTCCTCTGCATGTGTGGATCTTGTCCTCTGCATGTNCTCTGCATGTTTAGATCTTGTCCTCTGCATGTGTGGATCTTGTCCTCTGCATGTGTGGATCTTGTCCTCTGCATGTTTAGATCTTGTCCTCTGCATGTTTAGATCTTGTCCTCTGCATGTGTGGATCTTGTCCTCTGCATGTGTGGATCTTGTCCTCTGCATGTTCAGATCTTCTCCTCTGCATGTTTAGATCTTGTCCTCTGCATGTTTAGATCTTGTCCTCTGCATGTGTGGATCCTGTCCTTTGCATGTTTAGATCTTGTCCTCTGCATGTGTGGATCCTGTCTGCATGTTTAGATGTCGTCCTCTGCATGTGTGGATCCTGTCCTCTGCATGTTTAGATGTGGTCCTCTACATGTGTGGATCCTGTCTTCTGCATGTGTGGATCCTGTCTTCTGCATGTGTGGATCATGTCCTCTGCATGTGTGGATCATGTCCTGTGAATGTGTGGATCTTGTCCTCTACATGTGTGGATCCTGTCCTGTGAATGTGTGGATCTTGTACTCTGCATGTGTGGCTCTTGTTTTGTGTATGAGTGGATTGTGCTGTTCATGTGTAGCTCACAGATGTTTTTGTGACTCTTCTAGTTCCATAACAGTGCTCCAAACTGCACCAACGTGCAGCCCCAGTTTTTTCTATAACAGACAAAGGAGGCCATCTTAGAGCCATTAGATTTATACAAAGATCATATTACTTACAGTTTTACTCTTGACTGATATTGTAGCTTCTAAAGACTAGTGGATGCTCTAGGTTTTGTATTGTTATTATCGGAGTAAAGTTGGACGAATACATATACATTCCACACATCTCATTCTCCTTCCTCATATCAACTGCCGTTATTTATCTCTGGTCCATTGCATTAAATCCCAATAAAATATGCTTAAAAACTTAGTGTTAAAGAGGTATGGCTAGTGTTTCAAGTATCCATGTGCCGTCTTCATGTGATGTCATTTTTCTTTCTATGCTTATGTTTTAGTCCAAAAGGTTCACTATCTTTTTCAAATTGGAGTAACTAAAAAAGCATGTTAGCAATAAAATAACCAACATAATATAGATTTTTCTTAAGGAGGTTGATCATTAATCCAAATGAGAATCGCAGAGAATGAAAGTGGGCATATAGGGGCAGTGACATGATAAAGGCTCTTTGTGGAAGGGTTTGTGAATAGAGCATTCGGAGGATTAGAGTGACGTTGGTACTACCCACACCATGTCAGTAACAGCCCAGCACATGCAGAGGTAGCATGAAATTGTTCAGTCTGACGACTTCCAACCAAAACGGATGCCTTACAGTTTTGAAGCAATGATTTATTAATTATGTTTTTTTTCCTTATTCATTTATAAATTCATTCATTAAATGAGTTACTCTGGGAAAACAGATCTTTGACTGATTTTCTTTACACAGGTTTAGCTGTAGTCCTTCCTGCAGCTGTTTGGAAATATCCTCTCTAGGATTTATGTTTAGGGACTGATAAGACCATTAATTATGACTGATTTACAGTCAGTTAGGCCATTTCTGGGTTGATCTGAATATATATGTGACATCATTCTCCTAAGGAAACACCTATTGCTGGCCTTTTTACCATTTGAGTACGTGTGTTTAGCAAAGTTTAAACATTCCAGTAGGTGAAGAAATCATCTTGGCTCTATCACCTGACCTTAAGTTGGCATGTAGATAGCATTTCCATAGCATCCAACAGTTGCTTGGTGGCCAGTAAAAACCTTTATTAGTTAGCCAGGCAGTTCTTTGTTTTACTCCTTAGGTCTCATTGTGACAAACTACCTTCTGGTGTTCCTTTCTAAGTTCCAAGGTCTTAAGGCCTTTTTATTAGATTCTTAATCCTTCAAAATGATGTATGTATGTATGTATAAATATGATGTACTACTCGTTTTAAGATTTTCTTACATTTTTACCTCACCCAATGCTAACATAAACTTTTTTGTGTGTGTGTGTTTTTTTTTTAGCCATGTTGCTGCCATCGTCAGTGCTACTTGCACTTAGCCTCCTCACCTGGAGTCCCAGCTCATCATGGGCTGCTAAAATCATTGTGGTCCCACCTATTATGTTTGAATCACACCTCTACATCTTCAAGACTCTGGCAACTGCACTACACCAAGAGGGTCATGAGACCCATTTTCTAGTTTCAGAGGGCCGTGAGGTCCCACCTTCTCCTCATTACCATTTACAGCGCTATCCAGGGATCTTTAACAGCACGACAGCTGACAACTTCCTCCAGTCTAAAGTCAGCAACATCTTCTCAGGACGCTTGACATTTCTTGAACTGTTTGATATCCTTGACCACTACTCTCAGAACTGTGATGCTGTTGTCGGCAATGGTGCAGTAATGAACCACCTGAAGGAGGCTAAGTTCGACTTGCTACTAGTGGACCCTAATGAAATGTGTGGTTTTGTGATTGCTCATATTCTGGGTGTGCAGTATGCCGTTTTTAGCACAGGGTTGTGGTACCCAGCAGAAGTGGGAGCCCCGGCGCCGTTGTCATACGTGCCAGAATTCAACTCACTCTTGACAGACCGCATGTCCTTTCTGCAGAGGATCGCTAATACAGGCGTTTACCTGGCACAGCGCTTTGGAGTCCATTACATTGTGTTACCCAAATATGACCGGATTATGAGAAAGCATGGAGTAAAGCCGTATGCAGCCATGGCTGACTTGGTACAGGGGAGCAGGCTGTGGATGCTGTGCACTGACATGGCCCTGGAGTTCCCAAGGCCCACTCTTCCACATGTAGTCTACATTGGAGGCATTCTCACAAAGCCCCCCAGTCCACTTACAAAGGTCAGTATCCATTTGTTTTTTGTCACAATTTCCTTTTTTAAGATAATTTAACAAAAATAATATCAAACTGAATTAACCTGAAGAGCAGTTTTAAGATAATGAAAAGCCACCCAAACAAATCCAATGTTAAAAAGCAATTTCCCTTAAACCTACAAACAAGTTTTCCAAATTTTCTGGCAACAACAGCTATGTAACATTTCTAAAAACTGGCAGCTGGTGTTTTCCTGAAGAGGATTATAGTCCATGTTCTTACAGTTATCTTAACTATTTTTTGTCTTGTCAAGTCGGTAAATGTTTGGGGCAATCTATAAGCTTTTTGGCTATGGGACAAGCATGTATGATCTTTAGGGTCAGCGGTTTGTGTTTTTCTTTTCTGCCTTAGAACTCTCCAATGGAAGCTATTTTTACCAAATCTCTTTCCTATTGTTGAATCATGATCGCCAACTTTAAATAAAGCTAGTGAGACCTGCAGCAGTTAAAATATTGTTCTTGGTTCTTTTTGAGGTTCTTGATTTCACATTGATGAGCTCTTGGATTAATTTTGGTTTGTTGAAGACCAAAAGAGTTCTAAATGCTTTTTAGCAAATTCTGTTCAAGCTTAGAAGCATGACTGCAGGAATTGCCTGTGATAATCTGATGGTAGAGTTTAGTAGAAAATTATACGTACAACAAATAGGTACTGTGTCAAGTGTGAACTAAGTCTCTGAATCTCTTCAAATGTAAGAGATCAGGTATTTCTGATCAGAAACTCTTCCCACTGCTTCGTCAGAAGAGCTGACCAGGCAGATTAGTTTTGCTTTTGCTAAACATTTAAAGTAAACTTCTTTTTATTCATTTGCTCATCGGAAAAAAAACAGTTTTGGTGGCTATTTATGGAATTGTTAAAAAGGGGGACTGCTGACAAAGTTGAAAGATGTTGAATATGGCCATATATTGTTTGAAGCTAAATTATGTTGTTGAAAATTTTTCTTCTGAAGTCAGTTATCATTGTATTAACTACAAACATGAGTGTTCTTTTCTCTATTCCAGATCTGATCTGTGTTTCTTTGTATAGTTTGTTTCAAGGTCGTTCACCTGGACAAAAAAAAACAAAAAAACAACAGCAACTGAAAAGAGCTTTTCAATTCATGCCTGAATATAAATGATAAAAGAATGAAGGAAAGACTGCTTGGTGCTTGGTGAATTCCATTTAAAATAACTGAGTGGATATCTATACCTTTTTATTGCAGGTAAATTACTTGATGGTAACTGAATTTCTGCAGATCAGGCCTCTATCTGTTGCTTATTTAGATAAAAGAAAGAACATCGAGTCATAGTCAAACAGGAGCAGACCAGATGAAGCTACTATGTCAAGAAAAAAGCAGAGAGAACATAAAGTTAGGGGTGAAACTAACAAGTACTGCAGAATGGGACTATAGAAAGAGAGTGTAGCATCATTATAAAAAGTAGTCCCCATGTGCTTCAGCAGCCTAGACTTACAGAAGATATGATAGAAAATAGCTACCGATGACCTATGCTGTGCAAGTTAACCAGAAAATTATGAACGTATTAAATAACTAGAACTAGCAAAGTTATTGCTAATTAACATTTCATTCAGTTATTATTGATTATAACTGTAAGTTGGGTATTCACCAGGGTTCTTTATCTTTTACATGAAGATTGGACTCCTGGATTGACTGATAGAATTCAGTTGTCTTCATAAAGTTAGTAATTTTCACTATGGCTATTAACAGAGTTGTTAATCTCTGTTCATTAACCTCTTTACCAAAAGAAGGGTTGTTCTGACCTGAGTAATAAATCGTTCACTGCATAAAATAACCACAAACGACCATGGGTTAAAATACAGTGGTATCTTTATTAGCTAATAATCACACAGTATTATTTTATCTAAGAACTATGAAAATACTAAACATTACTGAAAATAAACACAAGTAAATAAAAGCAAATAAAAGGGGAAAAGGGGTTGTTAAGAGTCCATTCAATACTATCTGAGGAATGTCCAAGGTTTAAGGGCCTAAAGTGTCCTTTAAAATAGCAGCACATAAATGTTAATAACCCTGATGCAGAGATATGAAATGTAATAAAAACAGTGAAGTTTCACCCTGTTTTGAAATAAAAAATTACTCAGGGATGCATTTAAATATAGTGACGCTGACTCTGGAAAGAATAGGTTATTTCAGCTGGCACAGGATATCCGGTTATTGGGGGAAGGGGTTGGGGTCTAAGAGTTATGGGACACTCAACATGGCTGCTATCATGGGACCGGCAATGAGGTAGCTTGAAGCCAACAATGCTAGCCAGCCCAACTGTAGTAACCCAACTCTTCAAACAAATGGAGAAAGAGGAATTAAGCAGTCATAAAACACAGCATGGATCATTCAGTAAGGCTCAGTGGGCATTAGGATTCAGTTCAGAACTCTTTACTTAAAGGAAAAGTCTGGTCACCTTCAGAATACAAACTTCTGAAAGTACTTTAAGTATGAAAATATTACATACTTTTCAATAAATATTAAGTGTTTTTAATTAAGAGTAATTTAATCTGAATGTGCTTTACTGGAGACATTCATGGTTGTCAAAGAACACTATTGTCACTTACCGGTTTGTGACGTGTGTATCGGCTGTGTGGTATCGGCTGTTGATCAAGTTCAAGTGCCGTATCTGGTCTATGTCACAACGCACTATTATCCATGATGGAAATGACCAGTGCGCTATGCGAAGCAGAGAGTAACCGATTAATGACGTGTTTTTTCTGTGGCCAGAAGTTTGATGGCAAATCCTCCCTCTTCCAGTTGGCAATCTAACAACAAACGTGTGGTGGAAAGGTGAAATAACTAATTTGTTTTCACTTTTACCCGATGTATTACAACATCCAACTGCCATGCACGTGGAATTGTCAGTTTAACTATAGCTCTTGCGAATTTCAATGGTGAAGCCCTCTCGAAAACTTCAGTAATTGTTGTGGATTTCAGGGGTGTCTAGTAGCTCCCATTGATTTTGCATGTATGGTGGGGAGAATGGCCCTAGGCTTACCGCACCGTGACATCACTCCTGGAAGATGTCAGGAGTATGGTGTTACTATATTTTGGCAAAAATGGCCGTTCCCGGACTCAGTGATTCCAACGAAAAATATTATTTTTGTTTTTTACTGATTAATGCTAAATTAATTAAATTGCCATGAACATGTTAGATTTAGGTATAAATAATGACCCATTGGTTATTTCTTGCTGAATGGACTTTTCTTTTTAAATAACATTAGCAGTTGAATCAGAAAGCTCAATTCAAATAAAATACAAATGGCTGTAAAATATTTATGCTACCTATCTTTCACCATAGCAGAGTATTAATCATCCAACAGATGTCTATCAAAGAGATTTGAGTTATTCTGATCCAAACAACTGAATTAAACTTTGCAGGGCTTAATTTTGTCACTCATTGTAGCCATAGACGAGGGAGTCCCATTAAGGCTGCGGTTGGCTTATAGCAGTGGTTCAGACGGTGGCAGCACAGTTCCGAACTGCAGCCAGACCAATGAGTCACAGTCCGGTGGTTTCACAGTGATTGCAGTGGCTCAGGACCAGTGTGGCATGGCTAGTTGGCTAAGACAAACAGCAACTGGACCTTGCTGTTAAATGAGTTGGCCAGAACAGGAGAGTCTCGCAAGTCTCTTTCTCCTTTGCTTCAGCAATCGGTTGACAAAACACTGTGTTGAATCTGATTTGAAATGCAGGATAAACACGACTCTATGTTCAGCTACTCTGAATTGTAGGCAGCAAGTATTTTGTGTCGGCCAGCAAACACGGACTCTTCTCCGGAGGAGATTTGGTGGCTAGACCTAGCCTTCAGCTGAAATATATTATTGAAATATTTCAATATCGTGATTTTGACCCTAGTATCATTACACATATCATATCACACAACCCATGTCAATACTCACCCAAATTTTTCTGATTTTCGGTCAGATTAAGGGCTGTTTGTACCAATGAATACATCTTGCTGGTCATTACTTCAGACGTTTAGTCCTTACTTGCTGGTCCTCACCTCATATAGTAAGGCTAGGATGTTTGTGGTTGTCGGTGTGTCTGTGTAAAACAAGGATAGGAAACTGGTAAACTTAACCATGGTATATAAAGGTATTGTTTAAAAGAAAAAAAACATTAAAGTCGTAGGGAAATGGCTGTTCCAATCCTTGCATTTCTGAATTGTCCCGTGTGGTGCCTGACTTTACACGAGTGAATAAAGTGAATGTTATTGGTCGTTTATCAAGGGAGCAGGGTTGTCGTGGCGGAAGGTTCGCAAGGAAGTTTTGTTCTGGCGTGCGCAGAAAAAGAGCTAACTGAGGACGAGCACATAGGATGGTCTTACGTAAACATATCACCAGAATGATTGACAATTAGGAGGACCACTTATTTTGATGATCCACCCAGAAACAAAAGATCATCCTCTATACCTTTAATTTATCTCTTATCTTTAAGCAATCCCTCTGGAATCCCTTTCCAGTATTTTTTTTTATTTTATGTACTGTATATCTCATTACATCCTGCAACAAAGTGAGCCTTCATAGGCGAGGCGGGGGTTGGGACGGGTTTGAGCCAAATGCATATGGTAAATTTTAAACAGCGGCCAAAGGGAGCTATGGGAAGCAGAGGCGGGCGGCTCTGGGAGTTAGTTCCACGTTTGGACATTGAGAGCACGGGCCGTCGGTATCTGCTGCTGGGAGTTTTAGGAATGCCACTCTAGGCGAATAGAGAGCATTGTGTCATCCTGTGTGGAGGGAGTTATAATACAAGTGGAGGGAGAACGCGCTCATTGTTTTGAGGAGAACTCTGGGACACTGGGACTCTTTTTAAGAGGTCACTAAGGCTGCGTTGTAGGACTGGTAGGGCTGTGCCACTGGGACACAGGGCCCAGTGTGCACATGAGGTTGCTCCGTGCCAGGGCCGACCTGAGGTGCTGCAGCTGGACCATCAGTCTCGCTCTAATTGTCCAGTTCTGCAGTGAGTTTAACATCCTTAATCTGTCTGTAACCACTGCTTATCAATACATACTCTTACTATAACAATTTCAATAAAGTGCCTTCACCAATTATTCCCAACCTTGTTAATTATTTAAGCTATAAATTAATTCATATGTTATTGCTTTGGGGGTTACCCACCCCCCTCACTCCAAAACCCTCTTCCTACCCCAATAACTGGTTGTGGTGGAAAGACAGACTTGTTTTCTTGTTCAGTCTTGTCTGTCTCTGTCATTTCTGTCATAAATCCTAAAACGGTTTTTCTTACTGTGGAGAGGTTTAAGCCACAAAATATTTTTCCATCACTGCATATCCGCGTTTCTTGAATGGCATGCTCCCTTGTCTTTCCCGTTTTGCAGATTGGCTGAATGAAGGGCCTCTGTGACCTCATAATTAAACCTCAAAGAAACAGAAAGTGACATTGCTAAATAAAAGGTCAGACGTTCTGCTGATTGAAAATGGTCAAGTTATAACCATCTATTTTACTTTATTTTATTTTATTTTACTTTTTTATCTATTTTACTTTATAAAATAGTCTTAATCTCATAGAAACAGACATTTAACAATGCCGATAATTCTGCTGATTATAAATGCAAAATATTTGCAATATTCTTGAGCTCCTCTTTATCGTTTTTCTATTTAGAAAGTTAATATGTGAAATGACTGCCTGTGTTATGTTAACTTTAATTTTACGTAACAGGTAAAGTTACTGTTTTGATCTTCCCAGAATGACTTTCAGCTGGTAGTAATTCATTTTTTTTCAAATTCAATCAATAATGAAAATTGTTATTCCACTGGGGAAATTGGATCTTACTTATATAACACTAGTTACTCTCAGGAGGGTTCTGCTTTTGTTTTCTTTACATCTTTGAGTAATTTGGGACATTGTAATGGACATTTCCAGAAAATTTTTCAAGACTCTTTTCCTTACCAGTATATTTAATTTCAAATTAATAGCAGTGACTTTAGACTGTTCTTCAAATAACATAATGCCATTTTTTGTTATAAAAATAAAGAATAATTGTTTAGGTTGATTTAATGTCATCAGATGAGCAAGCAGTAAAGCCTTTTTGAAATTATTATAAAGATTAATTGTGAAGAAAAGAAAAAAATCTGTAAAAAAAAAAAATAAAAAAATAAAAAAAAATGGTAAGATTACGATTTCTAAACCCGCTTCCTTGAAAAATGTACGTTTTTTCATTCATTGCTCCCCCTGTTTCAGAACTACTGATCAAATATTAGATAAAATAGCATGAATTATGTTATTTCCCCATTTATTGTGGACTAGGCTTCCTCAAATTAGTAAAAACATTAAGTTGCGATATTTTTTATTTTTGATAAATAAATAAATATATCCTGGGTATTTGAAAATATTTGCACGTACTGGGTATAACGTAAATATTTCCTAAATTTGCTCTTTCTCATTGTCATTGCTTCTTTATTTCTGTCAGTGAAATGAAGGATCTGTGTGGCTAAAGGCCTGAACACACTGGTTGCTTGAGGCTTTAAATCTCCGACCCATTTTATATTCCCATATCCCAATGACTATGTATAGAGAGGCTCTGACTAGGCAGGGTCTGCAGATCTGCGCAGATTTTTTTTTACTTATGTCTCTGTGCAATACACAAATTGAAACAGTTTCCCACATTTGACCTGGACGGATAATGAAAAGTTATATAAAAAAAAATAATAAATAAAAAAAGGTGCATTCTATAAAGCAAAGCCCCACTTAACAAGATAATGTTTATATGTCTATATTAAAAACATTATGAGATCTACATCTAAAGAAAAGGAAATGCAGCAATAAACACTGTGGGATGGTTAATATGCTGACTGAGGCAGAGAAGTGATTGTCAAAAAGAAATCTGGGAAGTTTATCGAAGTTTTTGCTTCTGTTTTTACATAAAGAGGTGAGAGATATACCCTGTGCTTGCCTGCTCTGTCGGCCCCTCGTTATTTTGTTTTTTGTGAGGCTCAAAGAGGATCGATATTTTACTATATCTGGTTTTCTCCTCCTTGATAAACTGCCTTGCTTTTGCTTTTTCTGTTCTCCAGAACTCCTATCGTGGGTAAAGTATTCTATTCTTTTGTTTTTATTTTTTATTTTTGCACTAGTCTGTCATTTACTGTACTGTATATGCAATGTCTGACTGCTAAACTGACTCTTTCCTCTTGCGATTAACAGATTTTATTTTTGTATTTTACCCAAAAGCAGATGCATTTTACACAGACCCATGAGTATGCTGCTAAATTGCTGTGTAGTACGAGTAAAATAGACCTGAGGTCTATCTCAGTCGGACCAACGCTGCACCCTTGCTTAAAATTGTGTTGGGTGTCATTATTCTCATTGACTTTTAATAAGTGCAATACACCAAAACCTCGTCTGACAAGATTTATGTTTACGGTATGTTCTGGCCTAACCCTAACACCTAAAAGTCCCTGCAGCTATTCAAATACATTATTGGTCTAAAGCAGGGGTCTACAATCTTACAGCTTAAGGTCTGGTGTCCTAAGTCTTTCAGATGTGTCTCTGCTAAGGGCTGTTCGATATGGCTAAAAAATAAAATCACATTTTTATTTTTTTTACTCATCTTGGAAGATTCCAATTTTAATAGATTTAATTGAAGTGTTTAAAAACTACATCCATGTATTTTAAAATAGGTTTACTTTATTCAAAAATATATTCTCTAATATGTAAATGGACACCATGTCCATCCCTATATGAATGGCTACAGCAGAAGGAAGCAAATGCACAAATAAAAAATGCAGTAAGAGACTTCCTTGATTATATGATTTAGCAAAATTTCAAATCGTGGACTTTTAAAAACATGAAATAATCAAATGAATTTGATTTATTGTGCAACCCTATCTTTGCTTCTACACACCTGAATCACATGAATGGTTTGAGTCCTCAGCATGCAATGGCCCTAAATCCCTCAATCAATATATAGAGCGGGGAATATTTAGTGGACCTTATAGTGAACTCGATTAACTGACCGTTCAGACAGATTATCACTACTTTTCGTCCCCTTTGGTCATGTAACTCTGCCTTCCCGCACTGTGCACATGCCATGCACTAAACAACAGTGGGCCGCTGGTACAACAAATCTAATGATGCTTTGCGAGGAGAGGTCTGTGTGTCGTAATCCCTGAGCCGCGTCAGTGCGGGCAGCCCTGTTCTTAATCAGAAGATAGATAGCGTGGCCGTCAGTACGCATATATGTCTCGGTGTCCAATGGAGGTGCAAGGGATCTGAAAAGCCACCTGGACACCGAAAGTAAAGATAGTCTATTGATATGGTTTTTTTTGTTTTTGGTACATTTTGAGTTCTTTTTGCTACACGAGGTATTTTTTGTTAATTAGCTCATTTGTTAATTTTTTTTTTTCCAATAGCCTACAGAACAGACATTATTCCGTTCATTACTGAGGCTGAGTATCATCTGTTATTGGGAGTTGAGAGTTATTTTTAACTTTTATTGTTAAGTGAGGGATGTTTAGATGAAACATTATTTCTTTCATTGTGCTATTCATTCATTACAGGAATTGTTAAGCATTTTTTTAATAAATACATTTTGAATAAAATTATCATTTGTTATTGGAGTTATTGCTGTTGACTTTTACTGAAAAGCATTTTTAATAAGCCAACTGTAAATATCATGTTATTGTAGGATTACATAGGCCTATGTTAAGTGAGTGCATGCCACAGACATCTTTATGCATGGGAACGGAGATCCCCCCACCGCCGCCGCCTCCATGCTCCAAGGTGTCCTGGTTTTCCCAAATGAAAATATGGTCACCCTACATTGTGGGAAATTTTGAGTCCACTACTTTGGCATCCACTACACGTTCAGACACTTGTTTAAAATGATGTAACCACTATATAGGGCCCTATATAGTGATTAGGGCAGATGTTCAGACAGCCAATTTCTCTGGAGTCCTGCTAACACTGGCCTTTGAGGACTGTGATTGAAGAACAGTGTTGTTAGAGCAACACATCGGCCAGCTGATATATTTTGAGATATTAATATCCTTGTTTCATCATTGGCTGATTTGATATATTTTGCCATTCAACTCATCCATTTAACATAATATTTAACTTTGTCTATTCCTCACAAACAGTCCAATATTATATTTATTGCATATGAAATCAAAGTAATTTTTTAAGCCATGCTTTGAATAAAAAACATTCCTTTTTAGTATTGTTTGGTTTGTTTGCACAAGCAATGGACTAAAATAAAAAATGTGCTGGTGTATTCCAGTATTTCTTTCATTACTTCTTAAGGCTTTTATATTGCTGTATTCTCTTTAAGGCTATTGAGAAATATTTTTTTAAGGTATAATTTTCCAAAGATGATAATTGTGAAATAAGTTTCCCATTTTATATATCCTCACTAACTGAAACCATTTCAAAAGAATGCCCAAATCTTTTTTAGATAATTTCAAATATAACAATAACTGTCACTTTATTGATCCCATAGTAAAATTTTCCTTTCAACTACATGAAAAACCTTTTTCTTACCATATCATCAGTAAACTTTAAACAATCTAAGATGTTCAATTTTCAACACATTAATAGTCTGGGTTCCTGGGTTTTTTGTGAAGAGCTTAGAAACCAAGTTTAGGTGAAACATCAGCTTACTGCTCTGGATCTGTAGCTTACTGGTTTTTCTCTCTTTCTGTTCCTTTAGCATTTTCAGGACTTGGTGAATGACACAGCAGAGCATGGCTTTGTGGTTGTGTCGTTTGGTGCTGGAGTGAAGTACCTCTCCCATGACATTGCTCACAAACTTGCAGGAGCTTTAGCAAGGCTACCACAGCGCGTCATCTGGAGGTAACGCACACACATTCATCTGCCTCGAGATAACCTTTGAATGGGAATATTCTAATTAAGCAGAACTCAAGGCAACGCTTTCTTCTTCAGTGTCAGGCTGTTTGCTCAGGTCAAAGTTCAGACCCACCCACATGTGCCTCTGTCTTATATCTCCAGGCATCTCATGTTTAATGAGCTCCATTGCGTCATAGGATTTGCCTCTACAAATCTTTATGACTTCATTTGAAAGGGAAATATTTTTCTGGTCACAAAGTAGAAAAGTGCTTTTTCCAGATTATTTTATTGACGTACCTCATCTTTAATTTTTTTTTTGCAATAAAATTTAAGTCATATTAATAACCTACCATAGGTACCAAAAGCAGTGGAAGGTATAACATACATCTATTTATGCAGTTTTTAAAAATCTTTTGGTTATGTTACAACCCGGGTCCTTTTGTGATTTAAAGGTTTTTAGACATTTTTACTTCTTAGCATTTTAAATTCAATTAAAGCTAGAAAACTACTTTTGGAGTTGGTGGTCAGCTCCATTTACTCTAACACCCCTAAAATAAATTAAATGTAACAAGAAAGTGATTGACAGTTGCGCTTTGTCTACCTGTTTGTAATTTAATCCTAGACATTAGAGGTTAGGTTGAGAACGTTTGTCATTAAACAGAATCTTGGATGACATGCACCCAGCCTGGCAAAGAACATTGAGTACAGTTATCAGTCTCTACGATTGTGTCTGCCCAAAGAAAAACATGGTAATTTTTTTATTAAAAATGAGGAAATAATATGCGTCTATAATGGAGGAGCAACACCACTGGAAGCTGGGCAAGTTGGGCGCTGTATCACTGCCACACGAACACCGAAAGAAACACAGGATTGTGCAGAAAACTGTTGAAATGAACACCACATAGCGAGGGATTCAATTTTTAATACAGTTTACTTCATTTGTAATGCACCAATTCACAACACATCATCTCAAGGCAATTTACAGAGAACGCTGAACAAAACCATTTTTGCTATTTGTGAGAGTGAGATGCATGTTGATTAGAGACAGATGGGGCTCATGGCTTCAAGTTATTTTTATTGCTGTAACATTTTCCTGACAACTGGAAAATGGGGGGGAAACATATCCAGTTGATTTAGTTGGTTTTCCATTTACATTTTTAATTTAAGGTAATAAACCGATCTGGCAAAGCTGTGACATCAGCCAATCAATAAAAGAGTAGGGTGTGTCTTTGCAAGTAGATACCGTTTAGGCTCTAAAGAACATTGCAGACTGGCCACAGATAGCATAAAAAAAAAAAAAAAAAATTGTCAAAAGTTTTCTTTGGATTTACCCTAACAAGCAAGTCAGAATGTGCAGCATATCGATGACGTATTAGAACCTCTCCCTCAGTAAATGTGTTTATTGCTGCCTGTCCCTCTTGCCATAAATAACGAGTTGTATTTCCACCTGTCACTATCTCATTCAAAGATGTACAATTGCCATTAGCGTTTGTTCCCCTACTTTCAGTAACTTAGACAATAAACGCATGCAACCAACCAGGGATCTCTTCCTGGTTGTTCTTGTAAGTTTTTATTTCAGACATATAGACCACTTTCTGTCGTATGAATAAATGGAGATAGGCTTGGCTGACAGACAGACGATAATGGGAAGACTGTAGGGTTGTAGTGCAAAAAGCGTTACCTGTTCTAAAGCTTTATGTTTACAATAGTTTTATTGTTCAATTTTTTTGCTTTTTTTTTTTTTTTTTTGGAAACAGCTTTTTGGTATAAGTAAAATAAAAATGAATATAAATCTTCACGAAAAATATTGATATTATTTCATTTGCATCATAAAATATAACCTGTCAAACTAGCAAATATCTGGAAAGAAATTTTCATTTTGAACATAGGAAAGAGAAAAATACATTTTAAATAATTTTCCTGTCTTAAGTATTTCAGCTGTGTATCTTGTGTGTGTTCACCTTTTATTGTAATAATACAGGTTATTTATAAGAACCTTTCAAGATCATCATATCAATAAACATCATACTAAATAAAATTAAAAGATATATAACAGCAAATAATGACTAAATAAAGTTACCATAAAATGAATATCAATATTTGCCAACTTTTAGATAGAAGGCAAGTCTTAGTGGGTCGGTTTTCTAACTGTGACCTAAAGTGAGAAAGTAACCTTGCCTTCGCTTATGTATGGACGATAGAAATTGGCAAAAGGACATGAGGAGCAAGTGAAGCTTTACAGGTGTAAAGTGGGAAGTAAATGATGCAAGCTTCTGCCTTTTGTACTAGTTGCAATTCATGGAGTTTATATTGGGGCCAGAGAGGGAAGGGAGTTGAAAATGTCAAATGCAGAGGTGAGTGCACGATGAACCAGTTTGACAAAAGTGTGAGGGAAGAAATTGTTTGACGCTGCAGAGATGAAGGCATGTTGGCCAGGTTATCTTTTGGATGTGGAAAGTGAAGGAGAGGATGGAGAGGATTGTCCAAGATGACAAAACCGCCTCAAGCTCAAAGGAGGGAGTTACACAGGAGCTCTCAATGAATAATCTTAGACCACCAGGTTTGATTAAAGTTAACTTTGCACCAATAGGTAAGAGTGGTACATGTCGTGGCTTGGTCCCATTAGACAAAACTTTAAGACAAATTGTTATTTCTGCCGTAATCTCAGGTAGCAATGACCCAATTGTTTGAGAAATTATAAACACAGAACTGTTTTGAAATTGTCCCACTCTTGAACCTGGTTGCCAAATTTGTTTTTTTTACTGTCAGAGCCATGTGGACGGGCAGCCCAAATGATAACATACCTTTGCAAGTATACACTGTCTTATTTGTGGGCAAACCTGCTAGAGACTTGAAGGTGTTATTGCTGCAGAAGTCATTTCTTTAGTGTTATCTCAGTGTTGTTATAGAAATAGATGATACATTTTTTTTATTTTATTTTTTTTATTCATAACAATTAATTATAATGTATTATTTCAGTTACTGCACTACTCCTTGTTGATCTATTACATAAAGCCCACTAAAATACCTTTAAGACAAAATTAAAAAAGTTCACAAGTTGTGAAAAGGCAACGTTGTATCCAAAATTAGATGTATTATTTGTATTTATATAAAGGTTATAAGAACGTAACCCTAAAGTCACAAAGGTACTCTCTGCTATTTTTTATACATGCATCCTGACCTTGATTGTAAAATATAATATAACAAGGGGAGTAATTGTTTTGGAGTTTAGCCAGTAAAGTGGGTGCTAATTTTGCAGTTTTTTCAAACATTGTTTCTAAAAAAGTTAATCTTTAACTTTTATCTTGTTGTATTTAAACACATGTTAGTCATTGACTACAGTGACCTAGATTGCTTAGCTGTTTTGATGCTGTAAGTGATTGGAAAATACATCATGAAATTGATTGGCCTTAAGTATGATGTAATAATTTCGAAATCCAATAGGAACAAACAAGAGCATCTGTGACTTTTACATACACATCATAGTTAATGTTCTGGGGCTCTGCCCCAGCTTTAAAATTATATTTTTAATCTCAACTTGATTTTCCTTGTTAGATAAAGGCTAAAGAAACATTTTTAAAAAGTCAATCCCAACAGAAGTTTCGCTCATCTGTATTTCTGAAAATTTTTGCTTATAAAGTTGTGTTCTTACTTTAAGTGTGAATTAGTTCGACTCCTTGTTTTTTTTTTTTATTAGTCTAAAAATAACACTCTGTAATAAGTTGTGTTGTTGGCAAGTTTGAGTTTTAGTCCTGTCAGCACTTGACTTCATTGATTGTTGGTTAAGATGAAAAGAAAAGCTTTATATTATTACAGAATTATGCCCTCAATCACATTTTTTCTTTTCTTTTCAATTAATCCTGTTTGGATTATTCGCATAGTGAATAAGTACACTGAAAGCAGTGAAGGGATAAAGTTTCAAAGTTGACAAACTGCATTCCTTTCTTTGCAAAGATAGGAAGGGCGACCCGGAATAGAATGTCTTTTCCGTACTTGACATAAGCAACACAGTGAAAGATCATTTTTGTTAGAATAAATTTAAGGATTTTCTTAAAATCTTTCAAAGCTGATTAAAAGTATTAGAGGATCTTTTTAAATTAAAACAATATAAAGAGGCATGCTTAGTAGTACCCAGTTTTAAGTTGTAATGAAGTGACTTTCTATACATTTTTTTATTCAGTGTGTTAAAAAAAAGTTGCATTGTTTCTGTCTTTATATATTTTATTAAACAGACATTTAATTTTTTTTTTTGCAAACCAAATTGCATGGATCCAATAAAGAGGAGATTAAGCCAAAGAAGTAATTAAACATGAGTCATATGATTTTTATTTTTTCCATTGCAACCTAGTAGAGAAATATCCCAGTCAAATAGAACAAGACACCTTTTATACCACCCATTTAATAAATGTTCCCCTTGTTCTGCGTATTTACCCTGCCTATGTCCACATAATGGTCACATACGCCTTTGTTAGCTGCAGAGTAGTTTCTGTGTAGCTGCACCATGTTTGGTTTTCATATTTTGTATTAAGAGGACATGTTTTTTCTTTCAAGCATCTTGACATACATCTGATATCAAATCAATGAAAACAGAGAAAAGATTTTCTAAAAAGCTTTCATTGGTTAATAAAAACCAATAGGAAGTAGCAGATGACTAATGTGTTAAAAACGGAATGAAACCAAATGAATTGTTTCCTTGATAAATGGCTACATGAATGCAGGCTTTGACTGTTTGGACAATGAAGTGAGGCTTTGTTGACTCGAGATAAAAGACGTTGAGTTAGGGAGGGAAACAGATAGAGATGGACAGATGGAGCTTGTTTTGTTGCATGCGAATGCATAGGAAATGAACGGAAATGCTTTACATGCACGCCATAACACATCCAACATCTTCACACTCTGCTTGCTTCACACTACAAAACACTCTGGGTCATGCAGTTCATATAGCTGCATTTTGCCAGACAAAAACTAGATCAAGACACGAACGCACAAACTCATTTAAAGGAAAAACTCAGCAAAAAGAAATAATGCATTTACAGAAAACAGCGTAGCATAGTGCAAACACACTGCAAATAAATAGAAGATGCTAACCCAAACATACAAAACACATGCAAAGAAAGAGGCTACGATTAATAAAAATGACTTAAGGAAAGTTACAAACTAGCAATGCATAACGGCAGCGCTCCATGTCTATATAAGCTACTGTAGGCCTTTATAGATATAAACCAGATGCTCAGAGAGATTAAATGTTTAATAAAGAAAGTGGAAAATATACCTTCCCCCCCCCTCCATATCCTCTGGACAGGCATCCCATTTATATTTTTACCAAAGCTAGGTTCACAATGGCAGGCCAACTGTTGGCCTGCCATTTGCCGCCTCCACCTCTAGAGGAGGCTGAGGTCCTTGTTAGAGTGAGCAGGCCCCTGCTTAAAACCTTCTATGACTGTGGTGGCATCAGCCCTCCTCTACACTGTTGTCTACAGGGCCCCTGGCAGCACATAGCAAGACAGAAAGAGACAAAACAAACTAGTGAGGGGGAGAAAGGCCCCTTCTGTCCTAGTCTACACTCTGGCTTCAATGAAGGAAGTGGCTGAGAGGAGTGTGCTCTCCAAGCTCACATGCATCATGGACAACACCTTCCACCCTTTGCACCAGACTGTAGAGGAGCTGAGCAGCTCCTTTAGTGAAATACTTTAACACCATTTGTAAAAAGGAGCACTTTCATCCCTACTGTAACCTGACTCTACAATGCAACAGTATAATGGCAATAATTTGTGCAATGTATAATCTGCAATTACTATTTGATACCCTGTGCAATAAGCTGTTTCTCTCTATCTGAAACCCAGTGCTGTCATATGTGGACGCACTGTATGTATCCCATGCACCTTTTTCTTCCTTTGGCACATTCTTCTATATGAACAATAAAGTCAATCAATCAGTCAATTGGTATCTTAACATTCCACCTTTCTCTCAAAAACAATTCACATGGACAAAGTTGGCAAACCTTTCAATTTGCTTTCCAATTCCTGTTGTCTTTTCCACCCAACACGTTGGACACAATGTCCTTTGGTCTACCAAATTCTCCAGAGATGCTCCCAGATCCAGAACTGTGAGTGGATAATGGTTTCTTCCAGACGTGCTTCCATCTGTCCTGGACCCAGTGACAGGAACTGCTGCCCCATCTTTGGACAAATCCCACTCCAATGTGTTTTTGAATGAAAAATGCTTTGTTTCAGCTGCTCTTCTTCGTCCTATATGTCACAACCGGATCCAGTGCTTGATCGGTTAGCTTGACATAAATTGAAAGAAAGTTTTACCTCGTTGAAGTTGCTAAATGTAATTTTGTACCAAGTTAACAGAAAAAAAAAACTGTGACTGTTTTAGCTAAATTAACCAGTTTTACTTCAGTTCTAACTTTGATCAAAACTGATCATTTTCATTTCAAATAAGTCAAATTTATGTCATATTATTTAAACCTCATATTTGCTTTAAAACCTAATATTTCACTTTGGTCCAACTTTATTTGTTGACTAGAGGAAGTATGTATGTGTCAAGACTTCTAAAAAGCTGTCCCTTTTGTTCTTACAATGAAATACCCCACAGTTTTAACTTTTTTTAGGCTGACATGTTTTAGACATTTAGCAATTAGTAGGCCATGTTTCCATCTTGTTCAGCATTGAGTAGATTACATTATCTTTTTTGTAGCAGAAACCTTGCATATAGTGTTGCATCACTGACCACACACATCATTAAATGGTAAGCAAAAGAGGTTGCATTCACCAACAAATGTGATTTATATCATGTAGTCTTTCAACATGATCCTCTTGATCCCATTCACAATCTCTAGGCTCTCTAGTAGCTAAGTAGCCCTGTTCTTTAAGAGTTTGAACTTAAACTCATAGAAGAGTAAGCCTGTTTTTTTTCTGTTAAATGAGGAGTGTATTCTAACTGAACCTCATCAAGTCTTTCTCATTGAATTTTCATACTGATGCAGCCAGATAGACTGTATGCTGAGCTTCAAGCAAGGTGACAGGGAAAATATGGACTGGATTTATAGTGATGGGAGCAAATTCAATATGAGCAATTGGAACAAACTCACTGACAGAGCTTTTTGTCTTAATCTATGATATAAAGGGGACCTGAAAATATATGTTTATGGTTAGGTTAATTATCACTGGTATGATTATTTATTATACTATGTTATTTATATTATTATTATTATTATATGATTAGGAACTAATCCTTATCCTGGCTGCTTTGCACTCTGCTGCGAACCACTCCAGTGAGTGCTGTGGATCACGCCCCGATAAAGCCAATAGAACCACTTCATCTGCAAATAATTGCTCCTCCTGAATCCGAGTTTCAACTATCCGACGGACCCTCCTTTCCAGAACCCCTCAATAGACCTTACCAGGGAGGATAAAAAGTGTGATTTTTCTGTAGTTGGAACACACCCTCCCGTCCCCTTTTTTAAATAGGTGGACCACAACCCCAGTGTGCTAATCCAGGGGAACTGCCCCTGATGTCCACGCAATGTTGCAGAGTTGTGTTAACCATCACAGCCCCACTCAGGGTGAATCTCATCCACTCCTGGGGCCTTGCCACCTAGGAGCTTTTTAACCACTTCCGTGACCTCAGTACCAGAGATGGAAGAACCCAACCGGGAGCCCGAAAGCTATGCTTCCACAATGGAAGAAGTGTTACTGGAAGTACTCCACCCACTGACACCGTCTAAAGTTAGACCAGAAAATACAATAAATTGTGCCTATATAAACTATGACCCTAAAACACCAGTAAGCTAGCAGCATAATATTAAATAACCACAATTGTTCTGTTCATAGTGTACCTAATATTTTTTTTCTTTCTGACTTGCATTAACAAATTTGACTGATTTGGCTGAATTCTTTTAGTTTGAAATTTAATGTGCAGTCTTTCATCTCACTAAGATTTCAGAGTTTAGCTTTGTATCATTGTATGAAAAAAAAATCATTTAAAAATAAAAACAAATACTCCTGTATAAAGGATTATAAATAACCTACATCATATGATCAGTAATAACTTACTCATCTTGGCAGCAGCTGATTATTTTTGTCCCAAATTAAGTTTTGGCAAGACAGAACTTTGTTTATAGTCATCTCTGCCCCTATTTCTTTAAAGTAGAGCAGCCAGTTTTGTCTCTCTTTGCCTGTGAATGTCATTATTAAGGCTGGAAAATATTTAGATTTTCGGGGAATGACAGAATTTTTAGACCAAACAAAAAATGTGTGTGGTCTAAAAACACAACTTACAAGTTGTGCAATAAAGCATGACCCACAGCACACTGGGGATATCGCCGCCGACAAACAACAGATAATAGGTATCAGGTGTCGATACCTGTTGATATGAGGAAGTCTGTTAAAGTTACTGCAGTTGGAACAATCAGAGTTTTCTTTGTGAGTCGATGACAAATAAGGTCTTGAAATTGAATACTATTGCTGCTATTGAACAGGTTGTGTTAGATTATGGTATGTAATATGTAGCACTAATCAGAAAATGACCACATTACTAGTTAGTTATAAAACCCTTATGCTTAAGAGATGCAATCTATCTCATCATAACATAGGAATCAACTAATTCCTTTCCTAAATCATATTTAAGCTTTTTTTAAATCATATTTTTAGCTAATAAAATAAATTGCTGGTTAAAGCAGCTTTCCAAATTAAATGCAAGATATGCAAGCTTATTCTTTATGCTGGTTTTATTAATAGGGTCACAATATTTTTCTATTTGCTCATTTATACCACCTGCTGGCTTTTGTGGGGAAAAAAAGTTCTAGAAACTGTTTTAATATAAAAAAAAAAGCCTCACCTAGTCAAAGCTGGATACAAGGTACAGTAGTTACAGGTCATTGGTTTTTCTAGGTAACATGTTGTTGTACAAACAGTATGAGGTCATGCATTATGACTTTAGAGTCTGATATGAGTAGTTCATTAACCTTTACTGTCTGTTTTGCTGTTCAGCAAAGCTATGTGACATGGGTACATATTATCTTTATTGGATTATAATTTACCTTGATATGAAGCTTTGGTGGAGCTAGGAGAGTAAAACTGGACTGAATTATAGTTTTGAATGAGGAAATTAATTTCATGGTGGGTAGGTTGAAAACTCATGGTGTGCAGTACAGGAAAACTGAAATTCTGAAATGGAAATTTTTATATAAAAGTGTAAATGGAAGCATTTAGCACTGAAAAAGCTGTCTAAGCTTTGCCCTGAAGATGTTCTTACTTATTTCTGTAGATTCTCCGGAGTCACACCCAGTAACCTTGGTAACAACACGAAGCTCGTTGATTGGATGCCACAGAATGACTTACTGGGTGAGTATATGCAGCTGGATTTAATGTGGTTTTGCTAATGACTATGAGAAAAGTATTTTAGAAAACAAACAACAGACACAATACAATTACTTACAGTTGTTTCACAGATTCATTATTGTCTAAATCTGAAGGCCGCTTTCTGTTCTTGATTTGTGAGGATAACAACTATCTTTGTATTTTGTTTAAAAAAGTAAACATTGTCTGCAAAAATTAAGCCATTCTTGACTTTTTACTTTTTGATATGTCAGAGCCACGATAAAAAAAAAAAAAAAAACCTTCAATTATAAACAGGAAAATGATAAAGAAAAACTGTATTTACTGCAATATCATAGTGTATTGCTTAATTATTCAAACTGACGTCTGGCAGAAGAACCAAGATTTTATAGAGAAAGCTCTAAACTAATCAAATATATTTTTCAGTTTAAATGAAAGGGTCTTGTGCATGACTCTGCCATAAATAAAACAGGAATGTAGGACAAAAGGCATGACAGAATTTATACTGTAGATGATTTCTGTCCCATTCAGTATACTAATCTATGTTTCCTACTCACCAGGCCATCCCAACACTAAGGCCTTTCTGAGCCATGGAGGCCTAAACAGCATCTACGAGGCCATGTATCATGGGGTGCCGGTTGTAGGTGTGCCCCTTTTTGGAGACCACTATGACACCATGACCCGTGTGGCAGCAAAAGGGATGGGAATCATGCTGCACTGGAAATACATGTCGGAGGAAGATCTCTACAATTCCTTAAGCAGCGTCATCAATGACCCTAGGTTTGACCACTTTAAATCTTTGATGTTTGATTTTTTTTATCCATGTTTATACATTATGAGAAGAGAGCATCTGTTGAGGCTTTAGCAATTTTTAACATCTGATTTGTAGATGGGTTTAGCCTAAATCACTGTCATATGTATTAACATAACCTAAGCCTGATATTGAAATTGTATACTGATTTATTTTAATTCCTCACCTCTAGTAACCTCTCTTTTTTCTTTGCTTGTGCTGAATTTCTGCTCCTAAACATACAAAATAGCTTCAGTATGCATATCCAAGGTATGGATCCTTAGCATTTACAGATAAACGAGGAAGAAAATCTACCTCTAAGTTAATGCATAGCATTTCACTCTATACATTTGAAGAATGGTGTTCTAGTGCAAAGGATAAGCTCATATCCCAATCAAACCTTCATAGATCTGTGGAAAAAAAAGAGATTTATCTACAAGAATAAACCTGACTTCAGCTGTTCTGCTTTCTCCATCTAGCCTACCAATAATGTGAGTTTTTTTGTTTAAATCTTACCTCTCATCCTAACGATTACCCTAATTATATTTTGAATACTAATCATTCAGACCTCAGGATGATGGACTGCAAAATACTTGAGACTGGTCAACAGGTCTGTAAATTTACAATCAAAGCTAGAATAGGTTGGTTTGGATCGGACGGGCCAAGTCCATCTGTTGAGCCACTATTCTATAACTTTAAAGCTTGTGACATGCTGTGCAACAATTGAGAATGTTCACCTCATTCTTATAGTAAAAAAGTAAATTTTCTTCCCAAGTAATTACACTTCAGCAGAAGCTCAGTTGCTGAGTTCATAGAAAGCCACACCTGTAAACGAAAAGCACAACTGCAGAGGCCATGTTCAAATGATTGAGGAGAGAAAAATGCTTTATATTACTTTAAATATATATCACACAGTTTTAAACATTTTCCGACTCTTTTAGCACATCCTCAAAACTACTCAT